CGACGGCACGGTTTGGCTGATGGGTAGAACGACGCGCGGGCCTATTACGCACGGACACCTGTCCTCTCAATAGCGCAATCAAAAATTCAGGCTTGAGGGGGAAAGAATTCCTGTTGCGCGACGCCTAGAGCAGTGCCTCTCAAACTCTGGTCCACGGACCTCTGGGAATCTGTCAATGGGGGTCCTTGAGTTCTGGAAAGAAGAGAAGTATACTATTGTTTTTAACAAATAATGTACGGAAACTTAAATTTAAAATAGGATTCTATATAACGTAAAAAAAAAAAAACGTATTCACGCCTCTGTTCATAATTCACATGGCCTACAGTTACAAAATGATTAATGAAATCAAAGTAATAGTCAACATAACTTCAATTTAAGGGTCCAACAAAAAATTTCTCTCGTGATGGGGTTTGCGAAAAGATGAAGTTAAAGAATCACTGGCCTAGAACGTACCGATCCCTCCGCAGACCTGGGCCACGCCGGTTGGCTGCGCGCTCACGCACAGGATTCGCACACGAGCGTGCGCAGTAGGCTCTCGGTTAATATCTGCGCGGCACGCAACCAACCAGCCGCACGGACACTGTCCGACTGCGCATTGTTCTCCTGGGGAGGCACTCCCGCTAATTGTGCATTGTATACCATTGTTGCTCTCAGCCGGTTAACTCCTATCGACCTGCTATCTTTATATAAAGTAACACAAAACAACGTAATTAATTACCAGTCTTCCAGACATTGTTAGACGATAAATAACGCTGCGGAGCCTACGTCCAATTAAAATATTCAGCAAGACAAACAACAATGGGACGACCCTCGGCCGTGCACTCTCAGGCCAGCTCGCTTCCTCTTGCTGGCGACGATCAGCGTGCACGGCGTTCTTCTTGCCGCCCTTTTTCTGCCAGTGATCGCATACGATTCCACCTTTTCCTGCTAGACAACTCTCGCGCTCGGTAGAGTATCGCGTCTACCAGGAAGGTTGTGTTCGTTTTTCAACGCACGAACTTCTTCGAGCCCGAGGGTATTGAAAGCACGTAGCGAATGATTATTGTCCCTTTACATCCAACTTCTTGCGGATATAATCCCTGCAGAATGTTTTTGTAGATCGTGGATTCGTGGACAAATAAGAAGAGGGTGATTCCTTATTCAGAAATAAGTCGAAATTGTGGTCGAATAAGCCCCGAGTTACGATCGTCGATTCGTTCTGTGTTTGTTAACGTAGATGCGATCATAAGGTGTAAGATCACGTGGTACACCAATCTTGCAACTTTGAAAAAATATAATTCATCGTCGTCGTTCCTCGGAGTACGCGAAGGTAGAACGGGCGAGACGAAACCGATCCCGCAGATAGAAGAGTTCGTTACGCGTGACTCGTAGAAAGCAATCGAATGACCATTGTGTCCCCAATGGTACAAGTGGAACGACAGAGCGAACCGTGGCGCACAGCCAGCGACCGTAATTTAGATTGCTGGGAACATCGAGACCTATTGAATCGTACGTACGCGCGGCAGCAGAAGAACCAACCATGCCGATACACATGCAATCGATGCGAGCGGAAACACGCGAAGGAAACTGCGCTAGCAAGCGACGGGAGCATTGTTGGTAGACCGGGTATTTAATAATGATTGGCTGCTATGTCCGTGATCCCAGGCCACCTCGTAGACTTTTCCCATAGTCCCTCGAGAGGCGAACTTTCGCTGCACCTGAAATTACGCCTATTGTTAGACCATAATCGAAATTACAAAATTATATACATGTATATAGAACAATTCGAGGCCCTTCAGAAACACAATTGATCGACTCCATTGTGGGCGTTGTTGCGACAGGGTTTCTCGAAATGTAGCTAATCCTGAGATAATGGAATCGATCGCCAATAGACGTAATTGTCAAGACTTTTGAATGTTTCCATTCTGTCCCTTCTAGTTACTGTCATTTTTGTAACCACTCTCCTTTCACTGAATGGATTAGGTTACACAGAGTGGAAAACCTTTGCCAACATGAATACAACGCTAACGGAAACACACGAAGGAAACGACACTAAGCGACGCGAGCATTGTTGGCCACGGGGGTATTTAATAATAATTGGCTGCCACGTTTACAGCCGATTCCAGGCTAGCTCGCAGAATTTTCCAGCTTGTCTCCCCGTATTCTTGCGCGCTCGTTTGCACGACGCCTAGACGTCTTGATTACAGGTTGTCCACCGGTTCCCACTTTCTAATGCAACGTGTATCGGGCGCGGTTTTTTACGTTTTGAGCCCGAGTGAAACTCGAATCACGGGACCGATAAGCAACTGCTAGTCCACGGCGATCGTCGCGGTTGCGTAAGCAACCTGTGCTCTTATTTTGACAGCCGGTATGCCCGCCCGGCGATTTCGAATACAAATATCTTCCGCGCCTTCCGGCTACCGTGACGTTGCACGGATACGTTTCAGACGCCTTTATGCTCGGCACAGGTAGCACCTGTCTCCCCGGGACTTACGGTGATATTTCATAACGCGCCAGTGACTGATGACTGGATGGAACGCGACGCTACGGAAATCACGGTCCACCTGGAGGGCACGGAGACGTCGCCCGGAGGTTACTCCAATGCTAGACGTTACCTATACCGTCGTTCAACACCATTTGTTCGCTCAAAGTTCATTTCTTCCCTCGTATTCCAAACCCTCATTATCGGTCGACGAGTCCTTCTGTCTTCTATGTAACTCAGCTTTTCTGACGACTCTTCTTGCTGTACAATCTCGTAGGGGCAATCATAGCCGTGTTTTGTCTTCCACAGTAAAGTTCAGTTACGGTTATAGAACCAGCAAAATAAACTTCGACGTCCACCCTGACCGGTACTGTCACTTCATTCGAATCGTTTTGTCAGAAGAATATCTCAGCGTTCGAATGCAAACTATTCTCGAGTTGTGTGAATATATCCCAAGAAGGATATGAACCATCCAAAGGTAAATGGTGACTAAATATCGTATTAATAAAACATTTCCTACTCGCCACATCCGCATGAAAATCCGCACGTTGGATAATGTTTCTTCTCAAGAAACGGATAGCCAGGGCTTAAGAAGAAAGAGCCTCGCTTAAGAAGCAAACGGGACCGCTTATCGTGCGGACCTAATGAATGTCTAATTCGCTGGAGCGACAGTGAGAAAGTAATCCGTATCAAGGCGTGAATTCCTCGCGATGCAACGTCGACATTAGCATACCTGGGAAGCATAGCCGGGCGACAGGAACGATCCGTACACGGTCTAGGGTTTCCACGGGTTGCGCAATTCCCACTTATCAGAAACAGGCATACGCAGACGGCTGGAGTAATTGCCGGCAATCGTTCGCGCGGACGCGGGTCGATTCGTTTCTAGTAACTGGTTGGGAGGAAGCGGTCTCCGCTCGGAGATGGCTGCACGGAGTTTCGTTGGTCTCTCGCGGCTAGAACGCGGCTACGCGCATGCTGGCGACTTATCAGCAAGAAATTGCCTTCGAGAAAACAAGGCGCTGCATTCTCGCACGCTCTAACGACGCGGGTATCTTTCAGAGACGAGCACCGTTTTCCTCGCCCGTCCATCCCGTGCTCCGCGAAGGAGTGGCGCTCCTGGACGCGCGTACATCCACGTACGTCCATTATTACACATTAGAAGAACCCTAAGACTTTCGCGGTCAGCCGCGGATAATGTAACTCCGCGCGGTCCTGAGCATTGTGAAGCTGGATCCTGACATGCGAGGTGTGCCTAGAAGGTAATGAGAATGGTTCTTTCAGAATGTTTATCAGCAACCCTATTACGAATCAGAGTTATTCTTTTCAAAGCGTGATACGTCCCATCTAGTTGGGACTTTTTCGGAATCTTGTCTTCGTTTAAAGAGTTAAAGAGGGGTTTATATACGACACGATCCTCGCATGGCACAATTTTCCTGCGAGAGAGACCTCGAGTTCGACGGATCCGTTGGTGTTTAACGCTGACACCTATTTCGCTGTTTCGCGGTTTGCGCTATTCGAATTCCAAGAAATGATTTCAGAATCTCGTATCGGACGCATTCCTAAAAGTTTCGCAATTTCGCGATGCGCAATCTGAGTCTACAATCGGTAAAAAGGGACACTCTTCAGCAGGGCCGAATGTAACAGCGTACTTCCAAGGTAACCTACTTTTCGATACGAATAAAAGTTAGAAATGGGGCGAAATGACTTGTTACAACTTGCCATTCCAGGCAGTCACTTACAAGTTTAGGTACCTAGTAATATATGCCACGTAAGCCTTAACATTCGTATACATCTGAAAATGTCGTATCTCAAATATGTTTCCATTCTCCGTTTGCCTGCGTCCCAATAAAATCGGCGCGTAACACGTCACGTGGTCCGCTTGTAAGACGTTCGCGGTTAGCAGCGGATAATGTAAATCCGCTCGGTCCCGTGCATTGTAACGCGCCGCAATGCTCGCACCGGTGCGTACACCTTTGTACACACTCACGGGGATCTTGTGGCGGCAGGGAACACGGTTGCGCATCGCAAGCTCTACATGCCGTATAATGTAAGCCTCTTCTTCATCTCCGGTTCGCCTACCCTCCCCTGCCCCTGTGCCCTGGCTCCCTGTCCGCCCCTGTTCCGCGCGATGGTTCTTCGCCTTCTTCCTCCTAAGTCTCTTCTTTCCATCTTTTCTTCCGCCTGTTCTTCTTCTCTTGCGCGGTCCCGCCACGTCTCTGTCCCTTGTTCCACGTTTCACTCGATTTCTTCTTCCCCGTCGTCGTCCATCTTTATCTTTCTCCCGCACGCCACCTCCCTCTGTCTCTCTTCGTGTCTGTCTTCGTTTCACTCTATCCCACGCGCCTTCTTTCCCGTTCTCCGTTCGTCTTAGCGACCAGCCGCGTTATTTATTGCCTGGCAGCAACAGCCGCAAAACTTAAAGCCCATACACGCGTGTACACTTTCTGCGTATGGTTTTTACACCGTGCATTACAATGCGCGCGCATGTACGCATTATACTGTCCACGTGATTCATTACCGGCCGATCCTCTCCCGGCTGCTTAAGAAAATACGGAAACTATAATTGCGCGAGACTTATGATGCCCTGGTCCAGCCGCCGCGAGCCGACGCGCCGCTCGCGGGATGTGCGCGCGTCGGGACGCGGAGGACGATACCGCTCTCTATGCCAGTGGTGTTTCACCTTTTCGAGCTCGTGCCACGGGTCAAAGAAGGGCTCTTCAGGTATGAACATATTAAATTCAGATTAGTTTGCGTGATTTTTAAAGTTTAATGCTCGTTGAATATATTTATACCTGACGTGGATCTCATGTAGGGGGTGGAAACTTTGTTTAACCCCTTAGGCTCGTCGCGCCACTAAAGTAGCTTTTGCGGATATCATCTTTCTGAACGACGCGCCACTGTAGTGGCTTACACGTAATTTGCGTTAATCTTTGCCGTACAAAGAAACAGCCCGGCGCAAAATTCATCCGTCCCTAAGAGGTTAATGAAGGATCTCGTATACTAACAGGAGATTTTTGCTGATACAGTGTTACTCTCGTATATCTTACAGAAGAAAGGAGCTGTCTTCTATGAATAATCGTAATTTTACTTTCTAGGAGCAATCCTATTATTTTTAGAAGAACAACCTTGACTCTTAACCGTTGCTACTTTCACGAGTACTAATTCATTAATTCATCGGTGTGCGATATAAGCTCGCCTTTGAACAGCACGACGGTTAAGAATCACTGCGCTATGGGGCTACGAGCAGCGTTTATGATCGCGGGGAAGCCTCGCGAGATCATATCGGCCGGATCTCTTCATCCGCGAAGCCGCGCGCTCCCTCCATTGAGTCGTCCATTGTCGTTGATCGTGACAGTGCGTAATTGTCGGTGTTTTATTGCCGGTAGTAAAGTAATCAGTCGGCTGGAATGTTTAGTATTTAATCCTCCGTCGCCCGTGCGCGTCCGTGTGACACACGCACGATCTCCAGCCCCGATGAAACCTAACTGTGTGCATTTGGTACGAAAGTACCCCGTGCGCCACGAAGGATACTCGTTTAGTCTGGAAATGATAATTATGGATAAATGTGTGCTTAATGGCTGCAATAATTGCGGTTAAACCTAGCCTGTTATTACCATCAGGGCTGTGTATCGGGCGTCAGACGTAGAGGACGTTTATCCAATGGTTGGTGTTTCATATCTCTTCCTTCTCCTGAAGAGGGTACTCATGAAGTGTGTGAGCGACGTGGACGATACTCTCGACACTGCAACGTTGTGTTTGATACATTAACTCTTTACACATGAAGCGCGACGTAGAAGCGACAGTCTTTATTTGTCTTCGATTTCGTTAAATCTCGAACTCTTCGTAGCGATATTGATTCATAAATAGTTTGCTACGCTGTAAAGTGATACACTGATTAAGTAGTTATAAGATATTTTATTTCCACGACTCTCCAATCATGGTAAATGAAGGTTTAGTCGTCTAAATTGTTAGCTCTCTGTAATGAAACTATCGTCGCGTGCAAAGAGTTAATACTTGACGTAATTTTTCTCCTGATACATGTTGAAAATTGTGTGATCTATTCAGAGAAACTCTACGACCTTGAGATTATCTTGACCTTGAATCGTCAGGCCGAAAATAAACGACCTTACGAACACCTCGATCCTGCAGCAAAGGTCGCGAGAAAATCCAGACGTAAATTAAACCGTTATTGGTTGAAGGGAATCACTTCTACGCCAGTGAAATATAATTAATGATTGTACTGTACCGTCTGATTGGTGCTTACGAATTCCTGCCGCAAAGGTTCTTACGAGAGGACGAGTAGCGAGTTGCTTGGATTGGTGGCTATAAATTCCAGGCGTCGACTGGAGTGTCGAAAGGTTAGGTTCAAGGGTGGCAGTTTACGACATTACTTGATTTAGTCCACGACAACGTGCCTTTCGTGTATCAAGCTTGTTACGTAGACTTTTATTAGTGTACCTAGATCTGCAATTCGAAACAGAACAAACTCCATCGATACCAGAAGAAGTAAGAGTGTAATCCGGGATCAAGGAGCATTTAATGTTGGAGTAGATAAGTTGAATCAGACAAGAAGCGATCTACTTCTGTTTCAATGGTATCTCGGGAGATCGACAAGAAAGAGGTAGGATGTATGATCGTTGCAATGATACAATATCGTAGCCTTAGCTACTCCCTAATGAAGCGAACTCTAATACTTGCGAAACGTCCACGTGCAACGACGCAGACCTCGAACCTATCCCTACAACCATCTTTGCTATCCGCGATCTTCCATCTTTCCATTCGCTCTTAAAGTCACCTGCTGGAAGTAAACTCGATGCCAATCCAACTGCAGTGGATTTTTCAAAGTTACCAATATACGCATCTATCCCAAAACTATCTTACACCACAGACAGCAATAAACAATGCACTTAACCAGAACGAAATCCATGGACGCCAATTTACACATCAAAGCAAAGGTTTCCTCCGTAATTCCCTTTCATTCAAAGTTCAGTTAGCGGTAGCGGACTCCAAGCGGACTGCAGCCTACGGAGGCGACGCTGCCTCATCCGAGCACGATCTAGCCGCGGCAGATCTCTCCGCACTGTTACGTGGTCGTAGATACGCACACGTCCGCACTCGCCGTATCTGCCCAGGCTGTCTATCCGATTCTTTCTTTCACTCCGTTTCGCTCCCCCTTCTGGAGGTCTCCGTCCGTTCGTCTGGCCGAGTCATCAGCATTGCAGTCAGGTGCCGCTACTTGCACAACCTGGTGGATTCCATCTCGGGAGCCGGATGGAGGAGACCCGGGAGCCCGTGTGCCTGGACAAGCCTGCACGGAGGTAGCGGAGCGGTTTCTATTTTCTGCCATCCCGGTATTCGCGCCGATTTCATCGGGGCGGCCTCTAGCCTATGTCGATTTATAGTATCGCGGCCCATTAGAGATAATTGTTAGGGCGGTAGCCGGAGTAGCGCGCACACGGCACGATGTAGAGTCGTTTTTCCCGTGGTCTGGCTGCCAACGTCGACTCCAGCTCGTTCCCGCTTGTCTCTGCGAGCTAACCGACCTGCTGCTTTATTATGTGCGAAATTTTTCTCCCCAACCTCCCAACCCCTCCTCCTCCTTTGCACACGTCGGTCATTTCAGCCGCGTCGATGGGGCCCGGTTAATTGGAATGTCGACCCCTTCGATTAAATTGTTAGAGTAAAACGCGATACGTGCCTCGGGGGCAGTTTCTTTACGCCTTTCGTCGCCGGGACCCACCGGCGACGCGTGTCCGCCGTGAGACTGCCTACGATTAGGGCGGCAAGGAAGAGAAAAGGGAAAATTTACAGTACGTGTTGAGGATGCAATTAGAGAATACGGATATCGTTTGATAAAGAAACGAGATTAACTTTCACAATAAACTTACTTTCGTCTAGACTGATACATGCGTTGCTTTCGAGATTTAGAATCTTACTGATCGTTTAAAATTACCGACAAACACGACGATCCGAAATACCATTATTATGCATCCTAACGATTTATCCCAACAATGCCGACAAGAAAACGAAACTGCGAAAAATACAAAAGTTAATGGAGGCTGCTACCAAAGCGGAACTGGTCTATCTGGCACGGCCAAGTTTATACGTAGAAGGGAAACGTGATGCTGCAACTGTGCTTCAGGAAGTACCATCGACTCCTCGGTCACGTGCCAATCGTAATAAAACGTTTCTTACTCCCAACTAACCACGAGTAGAAAGCAGAGGAAAAAATGCATTAATAGATTTTTCAGATGGAAGCACAAAAAAACCATCATTGGTTGAAAAATCACCGTTTGAGAGACACTGTACTGCCAGAAGAAAATGTCATCGACGAATGACTTCTCCCTCCAAGACACATTCATAGTTCGCAGATTATAAAGACCAGTTTAGTCGATTAAAAAAAGACACACTTTTCCGAGATTCCGTGTGATACGAAGCAGCCTGTTCCAGTCGGACTGGCGTTTTGCAAGAAAATGTCAACTTCGTCCTTTTCTAGCGTCCTATACTCTCCCTTCTCGAGCCCTCTCTATGCTCGTCTCGTAACGCGTAGCGTTCGTATGAATTCCCGGTGTAATTTAGATAATTTTCCTGACTGGTAATAAACTAATGTAGGGAAAAAGAGCATCGCGCGCAAACATTCCTCGAACGCGTATAATAAAAAAAAAAAGGAGAAGGATGGGGGAGAAACGAAAAGCGAAGATAAATAGATAAGTAGGATGAATGGAGGCTGGACAGAGCGCGAGAACGTTAAGGTATTCACACACGGTCAATTCTATTCTGCTACAGCAATAGTATTGCCAATAGTATCGTTAGGAGGTATTTACCCAAGGATCTGAAAATTTTTCCCTGATATTTCCAAATGTTCGGACTGCCTTGATTTTAAATACGAACACCTGTTTTTATCGACATTTGAAATAACAGGTGTTATTGTCCAGACTAGTAAACATGGGCTACGTACACATATGATTTTAAATCAACGACTTTTGCCAATGTCCTAACGTATTGTTGCCATGCGAACGAGAGTTTGTTAATACAAAGCCTGTACGCTAGCAGTTCACATTGTAATCACACCTCAAGCGAATTATACCCGAAAGTTTCTAATAATTGCATAAAGAGTTTTGTTTTTATTAAAGCTGTCTAGTCTTTGTTAAGACCCCTGTGATCTAGTGTCCCTGAAGCAGTCCTTGTTCCGGTAACAAATTATTCATATTTGTGTAAATCGATAATGAAATCAAGAATCAAGAAGAAAATGAAAGAAATATTGCTTACTTGGAAAGTATATTATATATTCTTAAACTATCGAAGAGAACCACAGATTCCTTCGATAATACTGATCGTGTGTCCGTGCCTTTACACAGGGACACGGGAAGAGAAACGCGGAGACAGAGATGAAGAGGTGTACATCGTAAAATGAGATTTGTTATTACCGCGCTTCAGCGGGTCTCTTGTATTGCGATCGTCAACGAATTCTCGTTAATTCTGGAGAAACTGTATCGAAAGCCAGGACTAATAAACGATAACGAAATAACACCGCGCATTACGACTTCCCGTTATTCATCTTTGAAACGAACTATCCAGATATCGGCGACTCTTATAATCGCTTCCACGAAGCTGTTCGTTATAAACAGCCACGCACACCGCTGGAAAATCCGGCCTGTGTACTTTGCGTGGAAACGCCGTTTGTGACGGATTCCAGAACAAAACTGGTTGTGGAAAGCAAAAGAGGAGGTGTGTGGAGCGCACCAAAGGAAATCGCGCGACCGCTTAATCCGGTGAAATTAGCTGTGGCAACGTGTTCTCTGCTTATCGTTTTGTCGCTTATCAAAAGAGTATTCGTAACGAGGAATACGCGGTAAACAGAATGAGGCAGACCGATCATCTTGATTAATATGTATATTATTCGCACGAATATAATTCTTACAGTTGTGATGATACTGTTGCAAACTGAAGCGAACGTTTCAAGTAGACATTTTATATTAACAATGGATGGTAGTAATTGTTTCGCCTTTCTTTCAGTCAGTATTTATTACAGTTCTCTTCGTTCCCACATCTGAATGTGAAGATTATTTTTTTTAATCTATCTATGATGGTTTTTCGCTGTTTAAATATTTGGGTATTTCAAGTGTCCATAAAAACTTGTAGTATCTGTTATATTTTGAGTTCGTAGCTTTGTTATGCTGTACTTCTTTATCTCTATTGCACATTGTTTCCAAAATGGAGGGTGGTATCGATGAGAAAATAAGATGGAATATGTTACGAACACTGTGGAGGAAATGTTACTCTCATCGCTAGTTGCATCCACCAAGAAGCTAGCACAGTCGCAACTGAAGCTGGCACAGCCGCAGCTGATACTGGACTGCGTTGTTCTGTTAGTCGTCGTCAGCGGGCTGACAGTAATATCCAAGTGGCCATAGAAAGCACTGCTTTCCTATTTTCTTCCATAGCACTTCAAAAGAGTAGGCGCGAGAGTACCTCGAGCATGCCTGGAGCCATGTGGAGAACTTACTGTAACAATTCTCTTAAATTGCCAGGTTTACGTTCGCGGACGGCCAGGATCGGTTTGTAAAGAGGCGACGACTGATTGATACTCCCTTTCGGTGGCTGTCTACCCTGGTGGGTTCCAGAACACCATCTTTGCTCTCTGGAATAAGAGAGATTCGGGAGCACGAAATGTGTCGACTATACAGGCGAAGAGTGATGCAGTCCAAGCAATGCGTCTTCCTCTGTCTTTCCCAGTAAACACTGGGATAAAAACTTCTGTCTCGTGTGGTTGCACGATTGCCAGAAATTTTGAAAGATGGCAACGTAGTTCTTCGACACTTTTACACTTCCATGTTTCTATACATCTATGAAAAATATACTGAATGCAACAGATACAAATGATATCGAAAATTAAATGTACATTTTTTCCTACTTTCATATTCAATTAATTCGATACATAATGTTTAGAGTGAATACTTAAATTCATTACCAAACTGTACGCTTATCAACTTGTCGTAGCACCAGTCGTGGTTTATGTATTCAGTTAGGAGCGAACTTATAAAGGGTTAAAAATGCTTCAACGAAACTGACCAAACTGACGCTCTCTGGGTCACGCGGTGAAAGTTCGTGACGAATTCTTCTAATCGGGTCAGACACCTCCATGATGATGTCTTCCACCGACCAGAGAGATGTAAAGTGCGTTGTTCCGAGAAGGGGATCTCGGGATTTCGTAAGCGACGGTCCTGGACTTTTGTTCCCGAAATACTTGAGAGCATTCGATTCTCGAGAGAACAGAAGAAGCAGCCGCTTCTTGGTGCTCGAGGAATGTAAACAGTTTCTACGGGAAGAATTCGAAGCCGACGCATACTCTCTGCGTTGCGTAGGTCGCAATAACCTGCGCGTCCAGTTAATCTTGTGTGACTGATGAGTGTGAAGTATGCGCACGGTGAGAGTTTAATTGAAGACGCTTGGGCGTTTGGTACGGGTAGCGCGGTTACTGTTTGCTAGATTCTTGGAGAATCTTCAATTCAATTAATTTCCGCGTCTGGATCAATTACGAGCTGCTGATTTAATGTAGCGTTAGATATCTGTGAAACTGCTTCTAATTGTTATTAATATTTAACCATGTTGAATAATTTAGCTAAATAAAACAGGAAGATTTCAAGTTTTCTTTAGTGTAACATATTTAAGCAACAAGACGAGATTGAAATACTGGCGTTTAAAAAAAAAAAAGGTGCAAGTGATGCGGTCTCTTCGAAACGTTCGATCCGCACACTGTCAAATTTCTACGACCGCGACGACTGAAAAATACACAGAGTCATTCTATGCGGCGATAGACGAAGTTTTCGGCGTTTAGGTATGGCCCAGTTATAAATCTTGGGCCCAAACTCAGATATTTCGATCACTATTCACCTGAACGTCTCGAATCAGAGAAAAGGAAACTTTCAAATTATAATCTAACAGTTTTTTTTTGCAAAAATCTACTAAAACAAATACTGAATGTTACCGTATACATTATAAATGTTTAATCAATTCGGAGATATTAATTTTCGAGGAGGACTACTCGCGACGACGTCGATGGATCTTTGCGCTGCTCCTCGCCATCGTCGAACTTCTGGGCGTCGATTACGAGGAAAATGATATATCAGCGCGTACATACACGATAGAGCATCCAGAAGGGGTTCATTAAATCGCCAATACTGGAAAAATTCGTAATTGATTCGCGCGTTCGGCGTGATTTATATGATTTACGCCGTTCATTAAGGAAACGTCAAATAACTTAACGCCGCCTGTATCGCGCCGCAGCGCGACTAAACGCGTGCAGGATCGGTAATCTCTGTCCCACCGTGCGAATACCATTATGGAGTGAAAAAGTTTTGTTCTTTCTATCACGTGAAAACGTGTTCCCTGTTCGTCGGAGTCAGTGGACGCTGCTGCAGGGGATTCACATGCAACCAGAGGCGGATTAAGATTTTTTAGACCCTTGGGCTGCAGGTTCTCTGAAATCCCTAGTTAATTCTCTAAGACTCCGACATTTCAATAAACT